TGTAAAAATAAAAATATCTATAAGAACACCGGATTATATATCTTACTGTTCTTTTTTTTATATATATATATATATATATATATATATATATATATATATATATATATATATGGAGAAATATAGTTTTAAGGTGCGCTATATTTATGGAATAAAGTGCTCAATATCAGAGATAGAGCGTATATAAATATAAATATAAAAGTGAACATTGAAGTCAACACTCAGAGGCGACAGGCTGTTTCATGCTAGACGCAATCGTCAAGAGCTATTAGGAATATTAACAAATCAAAAAGCACATAATACTTCCTCAAATAAACCTGACCATACCAACCTACTGTGCCCAAATCAAATATATTCAAGATGGAAAAATACTAAAAAACTCATATGTACTAATATATTCCCCGCTGATCACACAAAAAAATAAAATAAAATAAAATAAACCTAATTATATGCTATACTAAATCCTCCGCAATAAACCTTCTCCGTTAACAATTGTTTTGCAAAATACCAACATTGTATATCAATTTAACTGCCCTTTGGGAGATTGTATCTCTGAGTAAAAAGTAAATATGTATGATGGATATGCAACGACAACTTTATCGAAGAGAATTACACGATTTTTCTCGACTGCTCATTTCTGGTCACGAAATCGCCGAAGGTGTGTGTTAATAAACAGTAAATCGGACTTTGCAAACCAGACGCTTCCTTGTGGCTGAATCGTTAACAGCACGTCAGATGAAATGACAGGGTCCCCATAGGGGTTACAAGTTCGATTACAGTCGGAGAAGTGGATATTTTCTACGAAATTTCTTGAACATTCAGGCCGATAAATGTAATAAATACTGTCGAATTAAAAAACGGTGCATTAACTTAAATAAATTATATCTATAGGAATAACGTATAAGCAGAATATATATATATATATATATATCGCTCTTCGGTTATGAATTGAGCGCTCTTGCTGCTGATTTAATGTTTATATATTTCACGTATACAATAGGTTAAAAGATTCGCTTTCTCTCTGCCGTACGCCGATTGCTTAGGGGTAGAATCTCTGACTGATGCCAAATCGGCCAAGTTTCGATCCCGTCTTGAAGCAATCGGATGTCTAGCCACATGGTTGAGCTGTGATACGGCGAAACAGGCTTATATATATATATATATATATATATATATATATATATATATATATATATAGGTGCGATGGATAAATTGTCGTCTAAATCCTCCCTCCCCCCAAAAAAATGAAAATAATACTGATACCGCATTTTAACAGATATATTGACCAATATTACAGACAATTATCTCGAAATAACAAAGGGTTGATTTATTCAATAAAATCGCCATATTCTCCAGACCATTTCGGAATCTCTTGCAACTCTTCTGGATGCTCTCCATCTTTAAGTTGGTGAATATTGCCATAATCCTTGACTTCAGTTCAACTTTGGTGTTACAAGAATTTTTATTGGTCTCTCGCTCCACTGTGCCCCACAAATCAAAGTGGTTGCAGTCTAGGCTGTTATATAGCAGGATATAAGGGTGATGTGGCCGTAGGAATTGTCAGACAGCCATGACTGGATTATTCTGCTTTTGTGGAATATTGCAAGGTCCAGTTGCCAGACATAGTGTCTTTCAGCAGCAGACCTCTTGACCCAGGCTAGCGTTTCCCCTCGAGGCACTTGATGTAGGATATATATATTAGGTGTGCAGTATATTAATTATAAAGTGGTAATCATAGAAATAATTAATTCATGGCGAAATCACTTCGCTAACCGACTTAATAAGGCAGTAATCTACTTAAGATGGATTTGGTTTTCGAAAGTACTAGCCGCATTTCAACACCAAATCCATCTGACAATTTTAAACATAAGGACCACGTCATTCAATGAATTGCTAGTAGGTTAATACCTTATTAAGTTTGTTAGTGAAGTGATATCTCTATTAATTACATTAACATTACTGATTAATTCTTTGCATGATTACCTCCTTATAATATATATATATATATATATATATATATATATATGTGTGTGTGTGTGTGAAAAGTGTATATAAATATAAATAAATATATATATGTATAATTATTTATATGTTATATGCGCGGTACTTATTAGAAAGCGCTCAATATCAGAGATAGAGCTAACATATTTTGTTGGATAGATGTGAGTTTGTGACCCTGGGTTTCTCGCTTTGCGAGCGTCAGACAAAACCATGACGATCGCTAAAGCGTGAAACCCAGGCTCACAATCTCACATCTATCCAACCAAAATATATATATATATATATATATATATATATATATATATACAAAAAAGAAATAAAAAAAGATCGATAGAATACGTATCTGTCTATATTTCTGAGATGAGGTATTATGCACACTATTTATATTATTCGGACTATTGTCCTCATCATTGTCGCAACGTTTCAGGAGATAACTGACAACTGACATCCATTAAACATGACACGTCGAACTAGAACTGTCTATCTCAGTTGTGATATAAAGGGTTCAGTTCGACATACAACCAACTGAAGAAGGCTGAAGCGTACAAAGGCCGAAACTTTGTAATAAATATGACGACAACGATGAGGACAATAGTCCGAATAATGTAAATAGTATCGTTAGAATACCTAGAAAAATGCATGAGTCTTTTAATATTGACGGGAGTTAGTTGGTCCATAGTCGTAGGTCGACCGCATTCGAGATTCTAAAATTGTGGCGAAATCCACGATGTCGACGATCAATGTATGTAATGTCTTGCGCCAGGGCTGCGTAAGTTTTAGAATTCAGAGTTGTCATTCCCCCAAGCTGCTTGCCAACCCTCAGCAGGAGAGCCAATATGACCTACCCACATCTTGCCAGTACAGAGATGTGTTGAGAACTTTCTGAAGGGTATTTACGCGAAAATAGATGAAAAGAACTCGACCAGGAAATACTATCCACAACAACACCCACACATCCACATACATGGACCCCCCCCACACAATCATGGACGCATACGCGCACACACAGGCACATACGTATCTATCTATCTATCTATCTATCTATCTATCTATCTATATATATATATATATATATATATATATATATAAATTTTAAAAAAAAAAAAGATGAATTTTACTTTAAACCATTATAATAATTTATTTCATTTTTGGAAGTGCTATCTGATGATCCGGCGTCCTTTAAAAGGGCTCTGGTGAAATAAACTATTATAATGGTACCTTAAAGTGGTGTGTTTTTCTTTTAAATATTAGCTCTGGATTTACATTGAGCTCTCAGGATTTCATACTCCTTGGGATTACCCATACGGATTACCAAGTTCTTTATAAGTTAAATATATATATATGTGTGTGTGTGTGTGTGTGTGTGAGTGTGTGTTTCGTTAAATACGACAAAGCTTTTTATTTAAATTTTTTTGTGTTCGAACAAGTGTTTTCTTTGTTGCTTTCTTTAAGGAAGATTAGTCGAGAGGATGAATTCTGGTTTGCTATTTTTAGGAAGTTTTTTTTATCACTGCTACCACCTGTAAAAAAAGATTAAAAATAATGGAAACCTTTATAATAAAAACAGTAAAAGCCAACACTTAATAATATTAACTGCGAACACGGCCACAATGTGCTGACTGTGTTCGGAAAATAAAAGATACCTATAACTTTAGACATGTATGCACAACCCATGCACCCAATTAAAAAGCTCTCGGAATTATAGAATATTTAGACAGTTTCTGTCCATTCTGTGTCCAGAAAAAAAATTAAATAAAAGCTTAATCTTGGCACCTTGTCTGTCGTCTTTAATGAAACATGTATAAATTAAGGATTGCTGCTTAAATACGCACGCAAAACACACACACACACACACACACAGAGGTACACACATCCATAAATATATGTATCTAATATTATAGGCTATTAATAATAATAATAATAATAATAATAATGTTTGGATATTAAGAGAGTTGATGAATTTAATGTTACTGTAATAGAAGCGAGAGGTACTTGAGTAAGTTGATTTGAAAAAAAGAGCAAGAGCAAAAAACAACAACAACAATAATAATAATAATAATAATAATAATAATAATAATAATAATAATAATAATAATTAGAAGAAGAAGTATAGGAGTAGGAAAAGCAGGTGGAGAGGGAGAAGTCAGAAAAAGCACACCAACAATGATGACAATCGGTGTATTATTTCCACAGTCAGTGAAAGTGAAAGTGAAAGTGAAAATAGACACCTGCATACATTTGTCCTTGATATCTTATTTTCTGAATTTCAAGATCTGAATCGCAAAGACGGCGATAAGGCCTAAGATGATAGCGATAAAAAACGATAATGATAATCATAGTCATGATGACAAAGGGGGCTGGTAAAAAACGTGTCAAAAGTCAAAAAGAATACCCAACTCTTAGGGATATAACTCTATCTCCGAACGAAAAAATCAAAAAACCTAAAAAAACACTTACGTCAGAGAAGAAAAACAAACTAAAAAGCCAATCAAAATAATTAAATACATAGCAGAATATCTAAGATTAAAAGCGAAAAATATAGTAACAAAGATTTCCCGAAAATAATGATCGCGCATGCGTTATTGATTCCTTTTTATTAATTGATACCGTATGTCTGACTGATGTCTTGATCATCACTGCCTCCGCCAGCAACTGGAGCTTTTGACTTTTCTGTTGTTTCCTCCATTTTTGTTCTCAAATGATCTCACCAACCTTGACCATTTGGATCCCAGCATGCATTGAAATTCTAGTTCTTTTTATTAATCGGCTTCATTTCTACTGTCATCTTACTGTTAGAACTTCGCACATTGGCATGTATGAAATAAATAGCAGACATTGGCATCTTGAAATAATATTAATAATTCCATCTGATTTCTTGCAATGCAGCCTGATCTGTCTGTATTTCAAGTGGCAAAGACTCTTACGTTTCCTTCTCTCAAGGACAGTGTCTGGTTTGAGAACTTGCGTTTATTTGTTTTGGATTGCATCATAAGGCACTGTATTCATTTCCGCCTGCGTTCAACCAGCGGTCGCTGAAAGGGCATAGGCAAAAAAAAAAAAAAAAAAGAAATCAACCCAAAAGCAATGTGATCGAAATGATGAAACGAAAGAAGAAGAAATGGGGAGAAAGAAAAAATGATTTTCAATGGGAACGATAAGGAAACCAATGCAAACGATGAATGAGATAAAAAAAGAATAAATGAAAGAAAAAATGATAGTGAAAAAAACAGCAATGATGAGAAATAATAAAAAATGGGGATAAAAGAAGAAAGAAGGTAACAAAATAAATTATAAGAAAAAAAGGAAAGAGTGATAAAAATAATACGTACAGAGAGAAAAAGAAAGGAAGAAAGAAAGAAAGAAGGAAAAAAGGTAAAAAAACGTCGGTTTAAAAGAAAGGCAAAAAAACGAAAGAAAGAGAAAAAAAAGAGGGAAAAAAGATAGAAAAAGCAAAAGAAAGAAATAAAACTGAATGAAAAAAAGAACCGTGACGGTTTGAAAAAAGAAAGAAAGAAGGAAATAGACAAAGAAAGAAAGAAGGAACGAAAGAAATAGAGAAAGAAAAAAATAGAGAAAGAAAAAATAAAAGTGAATAAAATAAAGCATCCAGACGACATGAAAGAACAAAGAAAGAAGGACAGGAATTTGTTTGAAAGAAAAGAAAAAATGGATGAAAAGAAATACCATAACAGTTTGAAAGAAAGACAGACGAAAGAAAGTGATAAAGTTGATTGCGCAAAAGAATCAAATTTGACAGTTGAAAAAAACTAATAAAGGGAGAAAGAAAGAAATTTGAATGAAAGTGTATTGATCAAAAGTAAAAAGAAAGAAAGAAAGAAAAATTATGTGGAAAGAAATAGAAGTAAAAAAGGAAGAGAAAAATTAAATAGAGAAATAAAGAAGTAAAAAAAAGGAAGAAAGAAATGAAGAAAGACAGAATGAAAGAAATCAAAGAATTTGCTAAAGAAAAAGAAAAATCGAGGTCATAAAGAAATAAATAAAGAAAGAAATGTGTTGGATGCTTAAAGAAAAAAAGTAGTGCGCTGATAGAAATAAAGAAAGAAAGAGGGAAAGAAAGAAAGAAAGAAGAAAGAAGAAATAAATAAAGAAAGAAAGAAAGCAATGTGTTTGGCACTTAAACAAATAAAGTAGTGCGCTGATAGAAATAAAAAAAGAATGAATGAAAGAAAGAAATAAGGAAAGGGTCGTTCAGAAAAAGAGCAATAAAAGAAAGTAAATAAGAAAGAAAATGAAAGCATATTTAACAGAAAAAAGAAAAATGGAGTTCATAGAAAGAAAAAAGGAAAGAAACAAAGAAAATACAAAGATGAAAGAAAAATAAAAAAAAACTGATTAAAACGAAAGAAAGAGTTACGAGATTGAAGAAGAGGGAAATCAGAAAGAAAATGTGAAACGTAAAATAAATGGAAAGAAAAACTATAATTGTGGGGAGAGAAAAATATTATAAACGAAAAAAATGGCAGAGAAAAGAAAATGTTAGGCAAAGATAAAAAAGGTGGCAATGGACGCTCTCTGCAAAGGAAAAATTACTTTAGAGAGTGAGAATTAAGGAATAAAGAATGAATTCGAGAATAAATGAAAGAATTTGAACAATGAATAGAATCAATGAAACTAAGAAGAAATGCTGTGCCAAACTGGAAAAAAAAGATGAAAAAACGGAATGTAAAAATAAATTAAATGTGTTGATGACAATTTTAGGAGGCTATCTATCTATCTATCTATCTATCTATTATAATTCTTATTGTTCTATCCTGCTATGTCTTTCTTTCTTTCATCTACTCCCACCTCCTCGTTTTTCTTCTTCTTCTTCTTCTTCTTCTTCTTCTTCTTCGTGTTGTGTCCCTTTAATACGTGGCGATCATGGCTTTCCGCAATTTCCTGTCCTTAGTCACTCAATCAATAACCACCATACCTTTGGCTTGATCATGAAAATTACTACTACTACGACTACTATTAATACAACATTATTATTATTATTATTATTATTATTATTATTATTATTGGAAACACTGTCGTCGTTATGGACTGGTTTATTCATATTGAATGGAAATTTGTTTTTGTCTGAATTTCTGGCATATAGATTTATTATTTACATAGGTGCTATTATATTCGTACTATTGTCTTCAAATTTGTTGTTGTGATACCAACGTTTCGAGCGTTGAGTCATCCGGACTTCCACAGGTAAATATCGATCTGGGTAGCCTACAAGGAATGCTTAAGTATACAAGTGGTCTATGAACATGTCTAGTTCTTAATTTATTTAGTACCGTTCAGTTATTTCACGTCCGTTTCCAGGGATTGAACTCACATATTCACAAACCAATAGGCCAATAAACCGTAGCACAATTTGCTGGGGTAAATTTATTCTCAGCTTAAGCTAACTGCTGATTATGTTGCAATTGCAGTACCCCAGCAAGGTAGGCTTTTGAAGTGATGTTATAGTAGATTTTATAACTATTTTTCAATGGTATAGACGTCAATACAGTATTGTTATTTGCGGCTTTCGGTGAATTTCTTGTTAATTTCAATGCTGCTGTTGGCTGATTGATTGCCGCTGCTGCGATTGAAGATTTGCTTTCATTTGTCATTATTTATTTGCGACTCCCATGTTGTAGTAAATTTATTCTTAGCTTAAGCTAACTGCTGATTATGTTGCAATTGCAGTACCCCAGCAAGTTAGGCTTTTGAAGTGATGTTATAGTAGACTTTATAACTATTTTTTCGATGGTATAGACGTCAATACCGTATCGTTATTTGAGGCTTTCGGTGAATTTTTTGTTAATTTCGATTGCTGCTGCTGGTTGATTGATTGCCAATGCTGCGATTGAAGATTTGCTTTCATTTGTCTTTATTTATTTATTTGTGACTCCCATGTTGGATTTATTTCTACGCTAGGCCTACTAAGGAGGTCCTCATATTCTAGCATATGCGCTTATTCTTTCTTACTCTCCAGTGTTCTTCCTTGTCTTATCTTTACTACAGCTAACCGTCCTAGGGGAAAATGGCCTGGTGAGTAAAAGCGTTGGTTTTTGTTTTCGAAACATTAACGATGAGGGTTATAGTACGATCACCAAACTCAGCCTGGTCAGTACGCAGATTGTTGGCCGCTTGGGAATACCAGGTATCTTGGATGTGCGGGTGGTGTAATGGATAATTACTCGGTATTTTTTAATCTAATAGCGGAGTTCGAAATCCCTTTGGGTTCATTGTATTCACTTACGAGCAAATAACCCGGAGGAACGTATGAATCCCCCTCTTTTCCTCCCTGCTATGGGTTAATTAGTCAAACTTGTACCACTAAACCATTATTATCTATAAAAGAAAACTGTTATGATCCTTTTCCTTGTACCACGGTGATAGTCCAAGGTGGAACCAATAAAGAAGAACGCGAACACAGGTATGGAATAACACAGATATATTACAAACAGGAATATATACAGAGAAGTAGAAGTGTTAGTATGAACAATCAGGTTTAGTAGAGAGAATAATGTAGTCTCGACCAGTATCACTATTCCAATGTCTTGTAGTAATTGTCTGAACGCGACTCTGTTTCGGACTGCCTCTGACTCGACTCTTGACTCGACTTGAACTAATGACTCGACTCGAACTACTGACGATATTCAGTCACCCCCACCCACGAGGGCGTCATGTGTCACAAGGCCTTTTTAACGTGGGATCTCCGAGCTCGTGGGCTCGGCCAAAAATATGCCCATTGAACCCGTATAAACGTATTCAGGGTCGGTTTACCGAAAGACAATCCGCCCTTCTGCGTAGCCTCTCTCGAGTTCCTCCCCGCCCAAAAGCAGAGAGTTCAACCGATCTGTCGTTCAAGACTTGAGCGACGGAATCCTTGCCTTCTCCTGAGGCGTAGTATTTATTAAGTATGGAATAGTCCATTATTATTATCATGGGTAAGATCCCATAACAAAAATAAACAAACAAACAACTTATTACAATGTAAAAATATTTCAGTCAGTTATGTGCCATGCGTGATACACGCTTCGGCGATCATGTATCTTTCGATACATGACTGACGAGGCAGATTTTTTTCTCGTAGTAGGTTGCCATTTCTTTCTGGTAGACTGGTTGCCATCCAAGGCTATAGAACCCGTTCTGTCCTGCTATTTACCCATAGCTGGGTGAGGGCGGGTGAAAAAGAGGATTCATACCTTTCCCCAGGGTATTAGCACATAAGTAACTTTCACTCGGTTATGTACCATACATGATACACGCTTAGGCGATCATGTATCTTTCGATACATGACTGGGGAGGCAGATTTTTTCCGCAGTAGGTTGTAGAACCCGGCCTGTCTTGTTATTTACGCATAACTGGAGTAGGGGAAAAGAAGAGGATTCATACATTTCCCAAGGGTATTAGAACCTAAGTAAATGCAATGGATGTGACCGGAATTCGAACTCGGCTCTCCGATTTCGCAATCCGAGCCGCTATCCATTACTTCACCGTGCCTCGCGTAAAGAAAATAAAATAAAATTTAAAAAAAAAAAGCTGCCTTTAAATAACCTGCAAAAGGTTGATAAAACAACGAATATATCTTTAACAAAGGAAAAAAGAAATCTTTAAAACAGTTTTCGTTTTCAACCGGAGATCTTGTATTATGTTTTCCATTAAGTCATATAACAGGTGCAAATACCCTTGGGAAAGATATGAATCAGTTTTTATCTGCCCCCCAGCTACGGGTTAATTAGTAAGATTTGTGTTAGTAAATCATTGTTATTTCAGAACAATTCTTACAATCTAGAAATATTTTCTGGCTTTAAATAACCTGCAAAGGGTTGATAAACCGTTAAAGCAAATCAATCAATTATTATTATTATTATTATAAAGATTTGGATTTCAAGCTCAGTTCTTCCAGAAGTTGTAGAAATTTTAGAATCGGTTAGAGTATACAAATAATAAAGATAGGATCACTGTGAAACTAGGTTGCGGGTGTAGCCATCCTTTCAAAGAATTTTACGTCAATCTAGGCAACCTGGCTTCGAGTCCTTTACTATAATGTGTAGTTAAACTTCCCTTAAGGCTTTTTTATTCCCTTTCTTTGGTCAGTAATGGCGGTTTAATCAAGACTGTATCTGAATAAGACTTATATGTTTTGGCAAGATGTCTGTTGGTCCCGCCAACGGTTTTTCTTTGTCCTTAATATATATTGTTAATACTGTTTATTATAAAACAGAGCATTTACTTAAATATTTGTATGTATAAAAAGAATGTATAAACATAAAAATGCCTTAAAATAATTTCATAATGTGTGACGTCATTTGTTTACATTTGGATACGCATCGAGCAGAGATGAATGTATGAGAGAAAATCATGGAGAATTTTGGTTTAAAAACAATAAAATTGAGCTTGCTAACCGAAACGCCGCTCTGTGGCTCAATCAGGATACAGGTTCGATTCCTGTTGGCGGGCGCATATTTTCTATGAAAATTTCTCAGATATTCAGGACGGTAAATGTTGTTAATACTGTTTATTATAAACAGGACATTTACTTAAATATTTGTATCTATAAAAAGAATGAATAGACATAAAAATGTCTTAAAATAATTGTCGGACTTTGTTCATTTCATAATCGGTTAAATGTACGTCAAGCTATATGACGGTTCCGTATAGGATAAAGGTTCGATTTCTGTCGGAGGATGGATATGTTTCTATGAAAATTTCTCGGACATTCAGGCCGGTAAATGTTGTTTACTTAAATATTTGTATCTATAAAGAAATATATATATATATATATATATATATATATATATATATATATATATATATATATATATATAAAAGTGAACATTCAGAAGCGACAAGCTGTTTCATGCTAGTTGCTATCATCGGGCCGCGAATGGATTTTTCATGACTATTTATATATTATATGGGCCAGTGGTGCATTGTGGGTAATCTATTCTGGAGGTTAATTTGGTGGGTGTGGATTGTTTATTTATAAATAGCAGAATAGACTACGGCAATCAATCTAAATATTAAACGAATAAATAGCTTTATCTTCCCAGACGAAAACAAACTATTAAATAAGCGACCTAAACAAATCACCCCCAAAATGTTAATAAAACATCGAAAACCGAAAAGAATAAATCAATATATATATATATAAAAAAAATGAAAATAAAAACAATATGTATATATACTTATGTAAGCAAATATATGTATATAGATCCGACAGTATGAAGAAAAATATACGGAAAAACAAACAAAAATCCTTATATGCAATTATGCTGTTTTAATGAATTAATAATGTTTTAATGAATTAATAATGTTTTAATTGAATTGATAATGTTTTAATTGAATTGATAATGTTAATTAATAATGTTTTAATTGAATTGATAATGTTAATTATATTTTATGAATATGTCCTGAAGATGGTTTATTAGACCGAAACGTCCGACGTTGACATTATATTAACATTAAAACAGCATAATTGCATATAAGGATTTTGTTTTTTTGTATTTTTCCGTATATTTTTATATATATATATATATATATATATATATATATATATATATATTTCTCTGATTTAACCAGGAGAGAAGACAATATTTATAAATAAAAATGACAATAGGAAAACTGGTAATTGCTAGTATTTACTAATTTTACATGCACACAAACACACACACAGCTATTAACTAAGTCACAAATGGTAAATGTAGTTAATACTGTTTATTATAAACAGAGCATTTACTATTTGTATCTATAAAAATAATAATATATAAACAGAAAACATATTAAAACATATGTCTATAGAGAGAGGATTAATTCAAATAAAATGTGTGCCTTAGTTAATAGCTGTGTGTGTGTTTGTGTGCATGTAA